GCAGGGTCGCATGTGTGTGTGGAACACTAGAGGTGAAGCAGGGTCGCATGTGTGTGTGGAACACTAGAGGTGAAGCAGGGTCGCATGTGTGTGTGTGGAACACTAGAGGTGAAGCAGGGTCGCATGTGTGTGTGGAACACTAGAGGTGAAGCAGGGTCGCATGTGTGTGTGGAACACTAGAGGTGAAGCAGGGTCGCATGTGTGTGTGGAACACTAGAGGTGAAGCAGGGTCGCATGTGTGTGTGGAACACTAGAGGTGAAGCAGGGTCGCATGTGTGTGTGGAACACTAGAGGTGAAGCAGGGTCGCATGTGTGTGTGGAACACTAGAGGTGAAGCAGGGTCGCATGTGTGTGTGGAACACTAGAGGTGAAGCAGCAGGGTCGCATGTGTGTGTGTGGAACACTAGAGGTGAAGCAGGGTCGCATGTGTGTGTGGAACACTAGAGGTGAAGCAGGGTCGCATGTGTGTGTGGAACACTAGAGGTGAAGCAGGGTCGCATGTGTGTGTGGAACACTAGAGGTGAAGCAGGGTCGCATGTGTGTGTGGAACACTAGAGGTGAAGCAGGGTCGCATGTGTGTGTGGAACACTAGAGGTGAAGCAGGGTCGCATGTGTGTGTGGAACACTAGAGGTGAAGCAGGGTCGCATGTGTGTGTGGAACACTAGAGGTGAAGCAGGGTCGCATGTGTGTGTGGAACACTAGAGGTGAAGCAGGGTCGCATGTGTGTGTGGAACACTAGAGGTGAAGCAGGGTCGCATGTGTGTGTGGAACAAGCTGTAAAATAACATCATAGAAGCAAACTCACTGCAAAGTTGGATAAGTACATGAGTTGGAGAGGCTGGCTAAAAATAGGAGCTGCTTCGCTTAGCACCCAATGCTTTCTGTAGACTGATATTTGTTGTTTTGTTTCATCGTTCCATATATATATATATATATATATATATATATATATATATATATATATATATATATATATATATATATATATATATATATAATATACATATAATATACATATATATGCACTATAAGAGAGAATGTATGTCCAAAATTGGACGCCCCCTCCCTTCCCGATATGTGCTCTCATTGTCGGGCTTCAGCTCCAGTCCCCTGTTTATCGAACTGTTATTAGTTTATTTCAATAAATATCCTCTCGTCTTTACTTTCCTACTTACATTTGAAACTGTATTGTTTTAACCAGCTCATCTGACACATTTAGTTCATTGCCAACTCTTACGCTCAGGACCTTTCTTCCACTCTCACTGGCTCATTTGTATCTATTTGTATCACTTTCTTCATTACTGGTTTGTTTAGTTTTTCAATCCCCTCTTGAATCTTGAATGTTGTTGTGGTGTCTGCCTTCTTTCCTACAGTTTGGTGAGGTCCAGTTCCCTCAGTCTCTCCTACCTCAGGTTCTCACCTCAGGAAAATAAAACTTACTTTTAGAAAAACCTTTACGTTTACACTTTTCAAGTTTTTTAGTTTTTTCAAGGTGGGGATTCTATGCTGGGGCTGCATATTGAAGAGCTGTTCTCACGAAGGTTGTTCATAGAGAACGGACAGCTTCCTTAGTTTCCAGATAACCTGTTTCCAGAGACAACCCGGACGTCGGCCACCTCCACATAGGCAGCCTTGTGTCGTCCGGTCACAAGCTGTGTTCGGGTTTGTCCACAACTGTCGCAGTTGTAGTTCGTGTAATTTGCCAGGGACTCGTCATGCATTTCAAGGAATATTTAACAGTTTCGTTCATAGCTGATCCTGGGTGGAACAAGAGAAGAGAAGGGAACTATCAGGGGGAAGTGCCAAGCAATTACGACTATATAGCACTGGAAAGGGGTCAGGATAAGGATTGGGAATGAAAAGGGGGGAGGGGGAAGGGTGCCCAACCACTTGGTCGTTCGGGAATTGAACGCCGACCTGCATGAAGCGAAACCGTCGCTCTACCGTCCAGCCCAAGTGGTTGGACTTGACTCAGTGATGTGTTGAAGCCTCGTAGGTGCTTAAGGAGGGTCACCCTCGCGTGTGCGTGCAAGCACAGAGTGGTCGGCGTTGACTACATGTGGGTAGTTAGTGAAGCAGAGGGCGGGGATGACCTGGGCTACCGTGTACATGCTGGGGGGTGGTGTGGTGGCTCCTGCACCTGCACTACCACCACCCACCTCTCTTGCCCGCCCACCTACTGTGTCCACCACCACCGTCACCACCACCGTCACCACCACCGTCACCACCGTCACCACCATCACCACCATTCCACCCACCACCACCATGCACCACCATCCCACCCACCACCACAACCCAACCCACGCCCACCCACCCACCCACCCTCGCTCTTCCTCCAGCACTACAACCACCCATTCCCCCCCTCCCCCCTAAAAGTCCCCCAAACTCTGTGCTGGCCCGACTTCCCCCTACCAACCCTCTCCCTCCCCCTCCCCCTCCTCCCCCTCCCCCTCCTCCCCCCCCCATTCTCAAACTTGGTCCAACTTTAGAAACTTTCTCTGCCCCCTCCCCCCACCCCCTCCCCCTCCCCCCCTCCCCCCTGTCTTAGGTCGCTGGTGCCAGTAATCAATAGGACACGACGGGAAGGGGTACGTCCTTACTCAACTCCCTAATGACCCTGGAACCATCGTCCCCAAAGCATAGTTAGCTCATTGCCCGGCAATTCGGCAGTTTAGTGAGTCCAAATGCTCGTTTTCTACCTTCCAGTGCCGTACACGGTGCCCAATGGGGTCTATAGTCTCGTATGGGAATGCAATAGGTACCCCCATACGGTTACCCAGGATAGTTCAGAATGAGGGTATGGGGGTTGGAACGAGCAGTAAACGTGGGTGTGGGTGTGTGTGTGTGTGTGTGTGTGTGTGTGTGTGTGTGTGTGTGTGTGTGTAGGGCAGAGTGGGAGGGAAGAAGATAGGGAGGGAGGCGGAGGAAGGTCAGGTGGCGCCACACGCCACTCGACGGTGTTCTGGCGAACTGTTGGCCGCCTCCTGCAAGCCTCCGGTGCAACTCTGTCCACACATGAACACACACACACACACACACACACACACACACACACACACACACACACACACACACACACACACACACACACGCACAAGGGGAAGTGATGGAAGCAGAATCATGCATGGACTCAAAGCAGATATCACAGAATCCACCCATGGTCTCTCTCTCTCTCTCTCTCTCTCTCTCTCTCTCTCTCTCTCTATATATATATATATATATATATATATATATATATATATATATATATATATATATATATATATTTATATATATATAATCATTATAAACGCTGACTACCTCAGGAACTCAACTCTAGTACCGTGTCTCGTACCGTAACCAGTACAATACCGGTTACCTGTAAGTACTAGGTCCTCCCGAGACCAACATGCTCCTAATACCTTTAACACAATAGAGCCGCTCTAAGTGTATATTTGTGTACGAACCTTGAACGGCCGCCCAAGGTTATCACCACACTCTCTTCCTCTGTCTCCCTCTCCACCAGCATCCCTCTGTCTCCCTCTCCACCAGCATCCCTCTGTCTCCCTCTCCACCAGCATCCTTCTGTCTCTCTCTCCACCAGCATCCCTCTGTCTCCCTCTCCACCAGCATCCTTCTGTCTCCCTCTCCACCAGCATCCTTCTGTCTCCCTCTCCACCAGCATCCCTCTGTCTCCCTCTCCACCAGCATCCCTCTGTCTCCCTCTCCACCAGCATCCCTCTGTCTCCCTCTCCACCAGCATCCCTCTGTCTCCCTCTCCACCAGCATCCCTCTGTCTCCCTCTCCACCAGCATCCCTCTGTCTCCCTCTCCACCAGCATCCCTCTGTCTCCCTCTCCACCAGCATCCCTCTGTCTTCCTCTCCACCAGCATCCCTCTGTCTTCCTCTCCACCAGCATCCCTCTGTCTCCCTCTCCACCAGCATCCCTCTGTCTCCCTCTCCACCAGCATCCCTCTGTCTCCCTCTCCACCAGCATCCCTCTGTCTCACTCTCACCTCCTTCAAAAATTCAAACCTAGACAGCCAGGATCTCCCCAATAACTTTCACAATTTTTAATTTTCGTATGAATTTTTTCCCGTCTACTTAAAGGTATTTACGTAGAAATTATTGCCCATAAGAATTATCCATTATCCATAATGGATAATTATAATGGATAATAATGGATAGGGGGATTGTCCATAAGAAATTTAGCAATTTTAATAATGTTGTTCCGCTTAATGTTGTGTCTTAAGGAAAACCTGTTCTCAGTATATATATATATATATATATATATATATATATATATATATATATATATATATATATATATATATATATATATATATATATATATATATATATATATATATATATATATAACCCACTATTTTGAAAACATGAGTAAATGTGGACTGTATATTTCGATCCCAACATGGGATGCTCTTGATCAATACTTAAGTAATAATAATAGCGGAGGAATAAGGGCAAACAGAGATGATAGAGGGGGAGATGGGGTAGAATGGAAGAGGGGGGGGGGTATAGGTGAAGAGAAGTGAGAGGGGAGGGAGTGGGTTTGAGAGGGAGGAGAGAGACTCGGACGCAGCCGGGTATCCGATCTTGTTTTATCTAAAGGAGAATTCAAGAGTCCGCAGTGCACCCGGACTCTGCTGGAAGGAATTAAACCCAACTTTGCATGGTTTTGCTTATTTTTCCCCTTACAGGATCATATATGGAGCTTCAGCTCTTGGGCCCTGCGTTTAGGTTATGAATGTTTTTATTGCTCAAAACAGGAGTTATATTGGATATCATTGGGTAACATTGGGTATCACTTAACACTGCCCCCAACCACTTTGGCAGGACGGTATAGAGCGCCCATAGCCATCCTTGCTTGCCCTAATGTTCATTGTTCTTGTGTATGAGTGTCAGGGTTGCCTTACGTAAGCATGTTCTCCCTCCTCCATCACTGTTCACTTCACCTGCACATATTGCCTTCTTCCTTGTTCTTTATCATCGCCCATACCTGCCCTTCTTGTCCATCACTACTTGTGCCCCTTCTTGCTCTAGGCTGCTCTTCTCCTGCAGCATACCTGGAGCATTCCTGGAGAGGGTATGCTCCAGGCATGCTGCAGGCATGCTGCAGGTATACTCCAGATATGCTCCAGGTATGCTCCAGGGTCAGAACAGCACAGAGCACGAAGGGCACAACTGTTCACCACTAGGACCCTCTTGCCCATCCTTGTTCCCTTCAGTAGTGATGTTTCTTACACTTGCTAACTAGTGGTGACCCTTCTCGTCTTTCATCAGTATTGATTCCTCTTGCCCTTCATGCTCCCTTACACCCTCCGCCCACCCAGCACTGCAGCAGCCCTTCCTCCACCCTCCGCCCACCCAGCACTGCAGCAGCCCTTCCTCCACCCTCCGCCCACCCAGCACTGCAGCAGCCCTTCCTCCACCCTCCGCCCACCCAGCACTGCAGCAGCCCTTCCTCCACCCTCCGCCCACCCAGCACTGCAGCAGCCCTTCCTCCACCCTCCGCCCACCCAGCACTGCATCAGCCCATCTTCTTCCTTCCATCAATCGGGAGGCCGTGATGGTCCATCCATCAGGCACTTACCGACGTACCATGACAGGCTCCGATCCCAGCCTGGAGTCCAACTACCCATCCCCCTTCCTGCTCTCTCTCTCTCTCTCTCTCTCTCTCTCTCTCTCTCTCTCTCTCTCTCTCTCTCTCTCTCTCTCTCTCTCTCTCTCTCTCTCTCTCTCTCTCTCTCTCTTCCTCCCTCCCCTACCCCTCTTCACCCTTTCTCTCTCCCTCCTTATCCCTTCCTCTCTCTCATTCCCTTCTCTCTCGTTTCTTTCTCACTTCCACAACTTGGTTATTATCATATCAACATTACATAATTCGTTCATTACATTTCAACTCATTTCTCAATGCCATCCGTCCCTCATCCAACACCTGTTCTGTGACCCACGGAAAATATAATGGAGAAAGTGCTGACCTCACGCTGGATACAGGCTACACGACGCAATCTCAGAGAACATAAGCAACATGTACGGGACCTGTCATTAATGGTGTCGGACGACCCTATGTTTTGTGACTTAACAAAGGAAACATAGCATCAGACAGGTAAATTACACGGTCGAATATTAGACTTTTCGAATAGCTTTCACAATTTTTAATTCTCGTATGAAGGTGCCATACGAGGTGCTCGTATGGCACCTTCGAGGGTGCCGTTGGGTGGCAGAAGGTGCCAGCCAATTGCTCCTACTTTTTATATAGTTTGCATACAGCGTTTAATTCGAAAACCTAATTAGTTTAATTAGGTTTAATTAGAAGAGGATTTCTACTAATGTTATATTTGTTCAAAGATGACTAAAAGAACAAACACTAATTATATTATATTTATTATAATTTATAAAAACTAACTATAGTTTTTGCAGTTATAACTAACTTGCATTTATAAAACTAACTATATTATATTTATTATAATTTACACAACATTTCCAACCTGCATTGTTCACTCTCAAGTGAGGAATGACCAGACAGATGAGAAATTATGTGATTTATAACACTGGGAAGTCAAGGGCGTACAAAATTCTGGCAGGTGAAATGCGAAATAAATGAGAAGAGGGAAAGTGGGTTAATAAAATAGGCATACAACATTAAGTCAGGTGATACTGTAATGAGAATACAGGTGAGCCTAGTGGGCATGGTGGGGCGTTCTGGACACGTCATCATTGCCTTGTTCGCATTCCGGTCTCATTCATCCGGTCTTGCTCCCATTGTCATAGTGGGGAGAGTGAATGATTATATTTGAGGGTTTATAATAGGTTGTTCTACTTATGTGTAGGGCTTCAAGAATTTGCAATCTTCTTACATCTTAGGCTTTATCTAATCTACGAGGGTTTTTATTCAGCGTTTCTCTTGTTAGAGCGATGTCTTAGGCTTCTCTCGTATGATATTTAGGGGCACCGGATTGACGGTGACAAGTTGAACGCCTCGTGAGCTTGGTCCTAGGCGTTTAACCCGTCGTTTTTTTTATATTATCAGTTATAATATGTTTAGTTCCCTCGTTCTAACTGTTATATAGACTCACCATTATTTTCTCATCCACGGGTATTGTTTACACTCATAACACGGGTGTTGGTAAATCAATTTATTCTAAAGTCACTATTAACTCAGTTGAGCATAGTGATGTGAGTATTGTGACGTCACCTGCGGGGTTTAATGTCGCCAGAACAGACCGGAGTTAAGGACTGTGATGCATTCTCCCGCGTGTTGGAGGGATGTCTAGCCATGCTGCAGCAGTGGCCACCGTGCTGCAACCTTACCCTTGGCAAGATTTGCGCAACATTTGGCCACCTCCCGCTGAGAATTGCGAGTGTCGGAGACTTGGCCGGGAGGGGAAGGAGCTGCAACTCATGATGGATGACTTTCAAAGTTTCAGGCGTCCTTTTGTGGTGGTGGGAGCTGCCTCTGTCCTGCCATCTCCCCGGGAGGCGGTCAACTCTTTGTCCAGCCTCCTTTACCACCCCGCTAATCTGTCAGCCATGAGATATGCAGCGGTGGTGGCGCTGTGTCGGGGGCCAGTGCCACCATATCCTCCCCCTACCTCTTTGGCACCCGCCCCCACCACGCCACCCTCCCAAACCCATCCTCACATGCCCCTCCCCCACCTCACATGCCCCTCCCCACCTCAACTGCCCCCTCCCCATCTACAACCCTCTCGCCTCACCTCTACACACACCTGCATCGATTAACTGCGCTTTATTCACGTGGTGTTACTCTTTTCTCTGAGTGTGTGTGAGTATGGGTGTGTGTGCGTGCGTAAATGTGTGTATTCACCTATCCAGCCTGCAGGATCGACCTTTCAGCTCTTGGACCCCGCCTTTCTAGCTACCAGTTCTCAAATGCAATATCTCCCCTGATATCAGAAGCAGCAGGTGAAAAGAAACAGTGCGTAAACGCTACTGCCCCGCCGCGAGGATCGAGCAAAGGAAACTTGGTTGTGACCCAACAACGTAGCCTACTGTATGTGAGTGTATTTGCGTGTATGCGTGAGCTTGAGTATACTGTACATGTGCGTGCGTATTTTATTGTGACTGGGTGCAGGTGTGTAACACCTATGTTATGTATGTGGGAGTGTGTGTGTGGGAGTGTGTGCACGCGTGGGAGTGTGTGCACGCGTGGGAGTGTGTGCACGCGTGTGTAATAGTGTGTGAGGGGGGAGTGTGTGGGCGCGAGTGTATGAGTGTATGTGAATGAGCCTGTATGAGAGTGCGGTGCGTGCGTGAGTGAGTGAGTGAGCGAGTGAGTGCGGGTGGTGGGTCCGCCATGATAGATGACTCCAACTCTCGTCTTGGTGGAGGCCGGGCTGGCTTGGCGCCCTCCCTGCCATCTAGTGGCGGCAGGGCACACCTGGCCCGCCGCCCCCTGCCCGACCCCGCCATCTGTTGCCCAACGCCGCAACCCACCCCAGACCCCCGCCGTCAACCCCACTGTCCTTTTATCTGTCGCTGACCGCAGCTGATCATTGCTGATTACTGCTGATCGCTGCTGATTAGCTGTGCTGCACAGTCAGCTTATTGATGCCGCTCAACCCACCTGGGTGAGCAGGGTGACCAGGGTGAGCGTCGCCACCACCGGCCAGGGTCACCACCACCGGCCAGGGTCACCACCACCGGCCAGGGTCACCACCACCGGCCAGGGTCACCACCACCGGCCAGGGGTCACCACCACCGGCCAGGGTCACCATCACCACCGGCCAGGGTCACCGCACCACCGGCCAGGGTCACCACCACCGGCCAGGGCCCACCACCACCGGCCAGGGGTCACCATCACCACCACCGGCCAGGGGTCACCACCACCGGCCAGGGTCACCACCACCGGCCAGGGGCCAGGGTCACCACCACCGGCCAGGGCCCACCACCGGCCATGGTCACCACCGGCCAGGGTCACCACCACCGGCCAGGGTCACCACCACCGGCCAGGGGCCAGGGTCACCACCACCGGCCAGGGTCACCACCACCGGCCAGGGTCACCACCACCGGCCAGGGTCACACCACCGGCCAGGGCACCACCACCGCACCCACCACCGGCCAGGGTCACCACCACCGGCCAGGGTCACCACCACCGGCCAGGGTCACCACCACCGGCCAGGGTCACCACCACCGGCCAGGGTCCGCCACCACCGGCCAGGGTCACCACCACCGGCCAGGGCCCGCACCACCGGCCAGGGCCCGCACCACCGGCCAGGGTCACCACCACCGGCCAGGGCCCGCACCACCGGCCAGGGTCCGCACCACCGGCCAGGGTCACCACCACCGGCCAGGGTCACCACCACCGGCCAGGGTCACCACCACCGGCCAGGGTCACCACCACCGGCCAGGGTCACCACCACCGGCCAGGGTCCGCCACCACCGGCCAGGGTCACCACCACCGGCCAGGGGGTCCCGCACCACCGGCCAGGGTCCCGCACCACCGGCCAGGGCCACCACCACCGGCCAGGGCCCGCACCACCGGCCAGGGTCCGCACCACCGGCCAGGGCCCGCACCACCGGCCAGGGCCCGCACCACCGGCCAGGGCCCGCACCACCGGCCAGGGCCCGCACCACCGGCCAGGGCCCGCACCACCGGCCGGGGCCCGCACCACCGGCCAGGGCCCGCACCACCGGCCAGGGCCCGCACCACCGGCCAGGGCCCGCACCACCGGCCAGGGCCCGCACCACCGGCCAGGGCCCGCACCACCGGCCAGGGCCCGCACCACCGGCCAGGGCCCGCACCACCGGCCAGGGCCCGCACCACCGGCCAGGGCCCGCACCACCGGCCAGGGCCCGCACCACCGGCCAGGGCCCGCACCACCGGCCAGGGCCCGCACCACCGGCCAGGGCCCGCACCACCGGCCAGGGTCCGCACCACCGGCCAGGGTCCGCACCACCGGCCAGGGTCCGCACCACCGGCCAGGGTCACCATCACCACCACCGGCCAGGGTCACCACCACCGGCCAGGGTCCCGCACCACCGGCCAGGGTCACCACCACCGGCCAGGGTCACCACCACCGGCCAGGGTCACCACCACCGGCCAGGGTCACCATCACCACCGGCCAGGGTCACCGTCACCACCACCGGCCAGG